GTATCCTTTCGCGCCTTTTTCCTCACCTGATCCGTAGACACATTGGATCTATGCGATCTGTCCGGAACCGTAACATCCAGATAGTCCATGCGTTTAGGAGGACCACGGCGAGTTCTCTTCCTTACGTGGTCAATGCTGGACACGGGGCTTTGTGGAATTTGCTTCTTGTCATTCACATTAAGAACGGGGAGTTCTAAATATTCCGTCTGGTCTTGCTTGTCTGGCTTGTGTTTGCTTTTCCTCTGCTTCGTTGCAGGCGCTGTGGGTGGGGGCACTCCCTGAAGTGAAGACCTTTTAGCAGCTTTTGGTGCAAGCTGGACATCTTCGTACAAACACCCGGAGCGTGTTGTGGCCTTTCCAGCATCCTTTTCGCATGGGAGTACACCAGATCCGATTTGAATCCCTTTATCTTTGTGTCGAATTCTTGAATAAAGATTTGCAACGGAGTCGATCTCAAACTCTGCTCTACCAATAATGATGATGTTATCGTCGTAGGTAATATCTGGATCCAGATTCACTTGAACAGCTTTGCTCAGGATAGACGCAACAGGATTACCATCACTGGAAGCGTTCTCTACGATGACTAGGGCTTGGTTGATGGCACCCGTCGTGTGTGACATAGAAATGAATCCATTCCCAAACTGCGTGCTTTCATCAGCGTTCGTTACTAGTCTTGTTTTATCACAATTTTCTTCAATGACTCCACTTGATGAAGTGACGACAACATCAATGGTTGCTGATGCGTTTCCGTTTGTTTGCGTCTCTTCGTTCTTCATTCTCTTTCTAAAGAAATAATTAATGAGAGGTAAGTAATAAAAAACCATAAGCAATTTACTCTTTATATTGAAAAATACCAATCCCATTCAATTACAGAGACGAGACGGAATGCGTCACTTAATCAATTATTAAAAATATATAACGTTTGAAACAAACGATATATTCTTTTGCAGTTGTATATAGTATACTCAGGGTCACTTCTGATATGTTTATTGGAACATTTTACTAATATTTCGAATTTTTGTAACTTGGTTTGCTAGATTGGTGAAAAATTCCTTGTAAACATGGTGTCGAGTGAGAAGATACGGAAACAAGAAAATTATACTGACCAATGGTAATATAACTGTCATAGAGATGTCACTCAAAACATTTCAGCTCTATCCTGGGCAGTTCAAACAAATTGAATCTATGTAGTGGCAGTGCCACACTATTCATGCTTATATACGTACCTTCGGCACCAGAAAAGAAGACCAAGGATTAGAAGGATAAGCATCAAACCGACTATTGCCACACATACTATGATCCAACCTGATATAAAGTAACAACGGAAAATGTAGATGCCCTGTTCTTTTTCGGTACAAAATGAAAGTTTCAAGTGTCAAAACAAGTTAGGCAATTAGACATTGGAGAAACTAAGAATTTGCGTACATTTATCTTTAGAGTAGGGGGTAATAACTGTCAAGCATGTCTGTATATACAATCGACTAAAAAGTTATGTACATGTATGGTCTAGTCAAACTCTCACCCAACAATGTAAACCCCTTTTCCTCTTCTACAATTGCACCAACCGTTGCTGAAAAATATAGGTTCAAAATTGTTCAACATTTAGACGTTATTTACGTTATCTAACATAACTTTATGCCCTGTATTATCCAAAGATCAAAATTCAATTTACGTTTATATTAAAGGACTGAGAGGGAGGGTTAATTACCATTAGTTGTTGTTGAAAATCTCGTGGATGGTGTAAAGACAACTGTTTCAGAAATATTGAAAAGAACTCTCGTAGTACTAGCAGTTGTTACTGATCCTTCACTGGCATTTTCTCCTTTTTCGGGATGATAACCTGTTGTTTGCTTGGAAGGCCCGATTGGCGTAGGCAGGGTTGTTTCAGATGACGTGGGCTTCAACGTCGATGGGCTTGTTGTTCGAGTTGGTGATGTGGTTGATGACGCTGTTGAGGTCGTAACTGTGGCCTTAGAAGTAAAAGCAGGTGTTCGTGTCAAGGGTGTTGTCGTGGTGGAGATACTCGATGTCGTCACGCGTGTTGTCATTGCTGAAGTAGTCATGGTCGTCGTCGACAAAGTGGTTGTCGGAGGAAAGGATGGTTTTGTGGGGGTAGTTGTGGTTGTCGATGTTCTAGTGGAACTTGGCGTGGAAACAGTTGTTGTCGTAGGAACTTTTTTAGACAAAAGAGTAGTGATCATCTTTTTAGTGGTGGTGGTGGTGGTGGTTGTGCTTTTTCCATTGTTATCGGGAATAGGGAAGTTATCACACTCGACGTTCACTGAACCAGACCCCGAAGCTAGCAAAAGAATAAAACACTACAGAAAGAGGAGGGAAGAAAGAAGTACAAAAAGGGTATTAAACAGATAAATATATTAATAGAAAGATATACGTATTAATAGAATATTAATAAAACAAATAAATCGATAAATATATCAAAGAAATAACGAAAACATATGGTATATAACAGTTTGGCAAACATCAAACGATTAAAACAGCAAGTCCATATAAAAGTGACATCAAACCTGTGTCCTGTTATGTTCAAGACCCTACATTTTATGCTTCCTTTATTTCATGGATTCAGGATATTGATGTTTCGTCCGTTCTTCGAAATGTAGTGGCAAGTGACACAGTAAACTTACCTTTAAAGTACAACCAGTATCCAGAATGGTGCTCTTTATCGTCGGTGTGGAATTCCAAGTCAAACGTGGGGGCTTCTATGACATCTGTTGAAAAGCCGCACCTTTTCTTATTATTTATCTTTAGCCAATCGGTACAGGGGTCTTGGAAATGTATGGAGAGAAACAATATTTGAATGTGTATGTTTTCCCCATTGGTGGACGTCAGTCTGCACTGGCAGTTTATATTGGGTTTGTACTTATTTGGAAAATTTGGACTCATTAAATAACCGGCCTTTGTCTTGAAAGAATGGGCGCCGCACATTACAGTAATGTAGCTATCTGTAATAAAAAAAACGTTATGGATTTAGTCCCACTTGTGTCTGACTGGTGGTTGGTTTTGCTGCTGACTGACCTTTGGTGCCATTACCACATTACCACCATGTATATTTTGATGGTTGGACAGAGACCAATTGAATACACTTCGGACCTTAAAGGAACAAAAGGTTGTACGACAGGGACTGTGTGTTCTGACCTAAATAATCTAACGCCAAAATTTTAGTCAAATCTGTGAATGTCTTGGCAGACTACCACAAATTGGTATTTCAATTCTAGCCCCACTCCGCCAGAAATGTTTTTGTGCCACATTCGCGGTGTTGGTTGGCTTAGTTAGTAAACATTTCATTTAATACCTACAAACAATCAAGCTCACATACTGCAAAGTGTTGTTTTGTTTTTTCTTTTCTTAAAAAAAAAAATCAAAATTCAAAGCGGAAGCACACAAATTTCGTACTGTTAATATGCAAAATAAACATTCTTGAACAGTACCCTAAACAAGATATAGGCCGGTCGATCGGAAATGAATGGTCCATAACAAAGACATGGCATTCCGCACTATCCTCAATTCATCACTTTCCAAAAGCGGTTAACAACAGATTTTATAGTTCCTACCTGGGACGCACTGATACTCGATTTGATGATAGTTGGTAAACAGCTCATTGCCACAGGGATGCCTCTCGGCTTGGTAAAAACTGCATATTCGTTCCCCAACACAGTACCGTTGTAATAAGCTATTGGATCGAGGCGTGACAACTGTACAGTCGCCTTCATCAAATTCACAACCTTTTTTCTTTTTCGGTTTTTTGGTAGAAGCGCCAAAGAAATCCCGAATTGGTCGTATTTTGTGTCCTGCGCCGCAGTCAAAATTGAAGATATCTCCATGACAGGCCGTTATCATATAGATTGGAAGATCGGGAAGATTTCGATGAATGTGGTTACTGCCTGAAATATTTTGTTTCAAAAAATGTTTCACAAGTTTTATTTTCTATATATAACAATTTTTCCAGTCTCCTTACAAAGGTCCAGAAGCTTAAAAATACAGCTGTGTTAACATTCAATTTTATCGAAGCTAAAAACGTAAATACTACATATGCCCTTTACCATCTTTGAATAAAAAACCTATTACAAAATATCAATATGTATTGAACTCACCATTTACTCTCAAAAAACTAACCAGCGCAAAACCGGACATCATCACCAAGAACCTGAACCGCGATGACTGCATTGTTGTCTGGTTTCAGCACTTTTAGAAAGGATGTTTCCTTGCAGAAACCCGGCCGCACAACAATATGTAAAAATACAAGATCAAATTAAACCTTTACTAAATCGGCTAGCATTTCCTGTGGTTCCATGACTAGGCCTATGTGGAGTCAATATTAGTCCGTGTCTCGCCAGATCCTCCCGTATGAATCAACTGTGCCTTTTAGCGTTCTCTGCGACCATCTACGGGCATGCCCCGCGGACATGTGCGTGCCGACAACTGTCACTGTAGTATATACATCTATCTACCCGCCATACGCGGGCACAAACTCTTTCTTGTGGAATGACAATTGGATTAATCTTTTGGACAAGATATGCTAGCCGATTACATAAGGGAGCGTGAAGTGCACGCAGAAAGTGAGAGAAACTACTACAAAAAGTCAAAAGACAAATATCAAACCATGACATTTATTGGACTAAATAGACAGCGGCGTCGATCGTACATACATTTTGGTGCTAACGCTGGTAAAAGAGGCTTGCTGTTGTAACGAGCTATCCGGTGTTCATTTTCCTCAATAAAATTGGGATCAAAGGTAGAAGGTATTAAACTTGCAAGAAATAGCAGTGTTTTCATCCATGTTGAAGCAGTGAGACTCATACTAACATTTTACCGAATATTCAATATCGTATGCATCAGCTACTTAATTAGTACATAACATACTTTATTTGAAGGGGACGGTCATTATTTTGCTCAAAGGTACATTGTTCCTTCATTACGTTGGGTGAATATTAAATAAAAAGTACCGTTAGTTAGTGCGGCCATATAAATGACAAACCCTCGGATCCATTCCACTGCTTTATTACCAATGAAAAAATGACATTTAATTACAGTGCACTGAGTCATTTTGTACTACAATTAAGACGTGAGAAAAAAGGAATAAACTTACTGCAATATGTGAAAGTTACAGTAAGTTGTCCCAGCATGTAGCATAACATAACCATATTTGAGATGGGAAGGAGAGGTCTTTATGCCACTTGTATGCCACAAACAGATGCAACTTATATCCTGGTCTACTACAAGGCGCAATTGCACTGTTTCTTGCATAGTTGGTACCTAAGTTGAAGGTACCCTCCTCTTCCAATGCAGGTTCACTGCAGTTCCAAACATTAGACAATGTGTGTAAAAAATCATGGCCGCCTCATTTAATTAAATCCCCACATTGACTTCAGCTTTTCCATCGTTACTATACCTTGTATTTTTTTATTATCTTCGGTGTACAAACCGTACTTGACGTCTACCTCCCCAATATCGCCAACATAGCGAGGGTCAAAGTCTAAATGCGCCGCCTGCCATCTGAGAAAAAAACGATCAATTAGTATAATACGCCCTTTTCATCACACATATTAAAGAATGAAATGCACTAAACATCAGCAGTGACTTTCTTTCTATAAATACTTTCCATCCCCAACTTTTTCGTAACTCCAGAGCCTAAATAACGCTGGGATTTAAGCTGAAAGATTTCACATATTTATAAGGCATTATAAAGCCATTTCTGAGCAAAGGATCCCCGTTATAGACAGTGTCTGGGACTATGGCAGTATATGGCACTACAACAACTTCAGATTTGTCATTCACGGCAACCTTAAGTCACAGTTTGTATCTTTATAACATTGTCAACCCAATATTTTGCTTTTTGAAATCAGGATCCCTTGCAAGTTAAAAACTGCGCATTTAAGTTAAAACTTTACAAACCTCGTATCGCAGCTTATCCTGGCAAAATGCGTTGTGTTGACAGTGGACATATGAACTGTCCTGGAAAACAACAGATGCAAACTTATTTTATCGGTTTATTTGTTAGTTTCATTCATGTTCAATATTTCTGTGTTTCAGAGATGCTGTCAATGGCAGACGACGCAAAAATCGCCTATGAAATATATAATTTGTTTACTTTCGTGCAGTTGTTACGTTCAGTAATAGTCGATTTTACAAGATATTCCTAGGTTAAAGACCTAATCACGTGGTACCACATACCTCAAGCCAAATATGAGGACATCTCCGGCCTTGAAGTCTGCCGTTTTCCACTGGCCGCCAAATTTACTTGTGATTTCATAAGGATCATTGGTAAACCATCCAGTACCTAAAATATAGAAAGGCAATTATGTCTATGAAAAGATTTAAAGACAGCTAGGTTTTTTTATGTGTTCACGTTTTTTAATCGCCATTTCACAAATAAGCATTATGATACCAAAAATGTTACATGAACGTTCTTAATCAAAGGACAATAAGGTAGTGTCAACTTTAATGGGAAACAAACTTAATAAATGAATAACAACAACAATAACAGTAATGATAACAACTCACCAACAAGGTTAGCTTTTTCGATATCACAAGAGCCATACGTTTCTTGGAAATGTTTGAATCTGCAATGGTGCAAAAAAGAGTTTTTTCCCAAAATGTAGGCCAACTAACTACGAAAAAGACATTAAGATAGATTTAAAAAAGAACATGCAAATATTCAAAGGCGTCTGTTCAAAGAAATATACTTTCTGTGTCTCACCCTGGTAATCTATGGGACCCCTCACAGACACACAGTGTCCCCATCTCTAAGGTGACGTCACCAATGGGGGTCCACATGGTGTACAACTGGTGGGTGCCACGTGACATGTAAACGTAATCAGTGTGCACGCCTGTGTACCCCTCTCGATGGATTGCTCTATTTAGATAAAAAAGGACACAGGTTAAGCGTGAAAAGAAGTTTATATTATCTGTATTGATATCAGTATCTCCCCTAACCCCATTGCTTCTTTAGGCCTACTCATTTTCGGTGAGTAGATCTAAATTCATTACTGACATAGGTGTCTTCTTGTCTCCAAATTTAACGTTCACATCATCGACAGGTTTCATAACAGGTGTCCTAAAATTTCACTATTCATAGTTTCACGGCACTATTGTCGCAGTCTAGCAATTAATATCATAAACTAAACCCATAGAAGTCAGGTACCAAGTATATGTAGGGAATACCAATATGCACTAACCTCAGCCATTTAAAATCAAAGGTTTTCGGTTCTGCTCCAATTAATGTTTTAAAGAACTGAAAAGCTGATAAAATAGGAAATAACAGATGATGAAAATTACTATGAGATCCGATTAAAACTGACAATAATTTAGTGTGTTTTTTAATAGATATTCAAACACTTTTAAACCATCTGCTGTGTAAATTTTTACGTTTTAACTTGCGCTTACTGCTGCACTACTTTTATACCTGATAATACATGTAGGTACAACAATTGTTTTAAGCTTACGTCTCCTTCCTTCAATCACTTTTCGAACAGGGTCGCTGTGCGTAATGTTATTCTTCCCCTGTAAAAGGTTAAGCCCAATTAAAATACATCCAATTCCATAATCATTTTTGGGGGATTTTTAAAAATTAAGTTCATTTAATATAATTTTCTTATTCTTTTGGAAATATTAAAAAGTATCTAAAGCACTTACTAAATGTACTTTCAGTTTTTAATGAACATTTCAGCTTTCTCCGATATTTTCATCAAAGATGGTTCGATTTATTACTGATGGGCATTTACGATATCCTTGTGTGACCAATTATAAGATTTATATTCAGTGTTTTAACACTTATATTATGAACAAGGGCTTTGTGCCTTAACCTCGCTCTCACCACCATTTTTTAAACTTCATCACCTCCATAAACGGCACACATCCTTTTCCACAGCGCGGGTTGAGAACACCATCTTCTAAGGGGTACTCTGTAGACAGTTTGTCTTCACCAAGATCTCTGATATACTGCAGAACTGCAAGCCTTGCATCTAATACATCTTCTCGGGAATGGAGGCCTCGGATAAAGAGATACCTAAAAGATATACAAAACATAGGGGCCTACATTTTATCTTTTAAGTGTTTGCGGCAGTGCATCTACATGTAACGATTTCTACGATTCCATTACCTCGCTACTATTAGGCGGTGATCAGCTCTTTCATAAGCAAATGTATGCCGTCACATACTTATCGGCCAGGATTTGGTGGACGGGGGTAGGTTCCCTTTGTATTCTTAACCTCAGGTGCGCAAAACGAAACAAACAAAGGAATCAAGTGTAGTTGTCAATATTAACACATTATACCTACCCCTGATTGTGAAACTCCTGTCTTAACAGCTCCACATCCCCCAGCAGGTGGTTGGAGTCTTTGAGCTCCTGGAGGTAGGGAGAGGGAAACTCTACCTCCCTAGTTCCTAGTTTGACTATCCTCGGTTTTGAGGCAGAACGCGCATTTGTCGCCATTACATTTACATATAGTTATCTAGAACGCGTGCTATCAGAACATATGAAGGTCACAGCTGGTGAGTCTGTGAAGGTGGTTTGTTTACTTTGATAGAGAGTCACACGGCGCCAGTGTGTCTTATGTGTAGTAATGTGCACGTAGATGCTTGATAAGATTTTGAGCGCCGCATTCTAAATCAGAGACGTATCCAATAAGAAATTTACCTGTCTTTTAATATCCTTGCCAATAAAGCAGCAAGACGACAGAAATTTAATTGAAGCACATCTTTATAGAAGTGACATGCAGACATATTTAATATTTAAAAGTGAGTTTTATTGCTAGAGGGACAATAGATGGTGGCATTTATCTTATTGACCACGATTAAAGTCGGGTGTATTTCTTGGCCGTGACAAAATGACATATCAAGCTGTACTGGGATCCCCGATGCAATTAACTTTCTTGGGTTGTTTCTCAGTCATGTTAATGTTACATCTCTTAATTCTATAACTCATCAACAAACTTTCCCAAACATTCCCATTTGACAATCATTTACATAAGTGAAGTATTGAGCATTTGAAAGATTTGCATCAGAGGATCAGGAATAGCCGATGAAATTGTTTTGGTATAACGTGCAATGACACACACACACCAAACAAGGTCATTCCCATTAAATTCATTACAACTAGTCATATCGATTCGAAAATTGCCCTCAAGTAATTTTTTTTCTGGATTTCTTACAAAATAAGTATGTTACTATGGATACGTAGTACCCGGTATTTGCTAAAATAGCAACAGCATTTTCACTTGGATCACATGGTATGTGATTAATTATTATTATTATCAATGCATCAATTATTATCATTCACATTAGAATTATATATTAAAAAAATAAATAACATGCTGAACAAACTGTAAAACCACTCTTGTAGGTACTTGCGAATATTCTTAAATGATCCCGTGAATAATAAAGAACTACGACAAACATTCATATAAATATAACAAATAATAATAAATAAGTTTTCATATCAAAATGCTGTATGTTATACAATATTTAGCCATCCCCAGCAGCAGGTAAGGGCTCTTTGTTCAGTAGGCCCTCAGCCACCAGAAAGTCATAAATTTTCCTTGTTTTATTTACATCGATCTTTATCATTTGCCTCGCCTGGGCTAATTTGAGGCAGCCATGTTTTCTGCATTCATTAACCAGTAGAGTCTTAAAATCCAGGAATGCTTGAGGTACTAAACGTACTGATGCACACATCTGTAAGCAATAAAGGGAAATTGTTATATGATTTGCACCAAAACACAATGATAACTCTTGGATCAATTTACAGAGAATGTCAAAGAATAATCTAACAATCTGAAAAATCGATAAGAGTACAAGGGTTTCTCTTTGTACAAATGCCATACCTCTTTTTCTCTTGGCAAAAGCTTGTCATATCCTGGCATACCAATGATATCCAGTGGTGGGGCACTTTTCCGTGCTGAAGAAATATAAAAAAAACATTGCATTATTGAGGCTGGTAGGTGAAAATTTTTTAAAATGTTCTTTTGGCTATATATGTTATGAGAAATGTTAATAAATGGACTACTCAGGGGCGGATTTAGGCCGTCTTCTGGGTCTTCCGGAAGACGGTCAGATTTTCAAGTTTACATTGACGGGTATCTAATTTTTTCTGTCGGAAGACGGTCAAAAAATGGAGGATGGATCAACAAAGATAATGTGGAAGACTGTCAGAAAATATCTCTGGATCCGCCCCTGCTACTTGTGGGGTTTTGGTACTTTGGTTCTTTCTGCTCTCCCTAGTTCATTTCTATATAAATAGCCTGTACTAATGCCTCAAAGATATGTTTCATTGTCTTAACTATCTCATAATTTTCAATTTTAGATAAGGGCAAAAATGTAAGGAAGGTACATGTAAGTGACCATTTGGTTTAAGCCTAGAACAGTCTTCAAAGTATTCTATTTTGGTGATGGTAATGCAACAGAAACGATAGCTTACATTGACTATACATTGGTAAATCTGTGTAACTCTTCACTTTATACCTTGGCTTTAACAAATTTCCCAACTCTAAAGTGCCTGTGTTTTAGAGTCTAGGATATTTTAGTTATTTGTGAAAAGCATGGTCTTCAGTCTATATATGAATAACTTACATGCATTAGGTAAAGTGACAGGAGCCCCTCCCAAAGCAGCCTGCCTCTGCAACCACTGCTGAGTAGCCGACTCATCCTGCCAAACAAAAATGCTTATTTATAACTTGTCTAAAATTAATATTCTACCTATATCATACAACATCTAGACTTTGTGTCCATATAATACTTTTTAGGGTAAAATGCAATAGGAAAGGCATACTACAACTTCTATGGCAATCATCTTTATGGCCAAACTTTGTAAAAATTTGCCTTTTATTCTAACTAGCTTGACCTGTTACAAATTTTTTCGAGCTCTGACTTACTTTTAAATTGCTCAAAACATTAGTGAGTGCATTTCTCCTCTCTTTAGTCTGATCCTGAGATGTTTTGAGGTTTCTGTACAGCCTTGCTGATCTGAGCCGCGTGATGCCTGCATGCCTGTATTCCTGAAGTCTCTTGATCTCCTGACGTAACTCAAGTTCATCTGCAAAACACATTAATTTTTTTCTGTCGTTAATCTTTATTAAGTCATTTTTATCATAATTTATTATACTAGACAGTGTAAGATTTCCTTCTTTGCTTTGCTACACCCTGGCTATGGGCATAGCATTAAAAGAATGGAGTACATATCTGAAAAGGTACTTACAATGGAGTCCTTCCAGGTATTTGTCCCATTCATATGGTGAACACACTTTTAACATACTCCTGAGCCCTTCTACCCAACTGCGAATGGTTGCATCAAATCTTCTGCTCTGAGCTAGAAAGATACCAAAAAGTGTCATTGTACCATTTGATGATAATGACTCCCTAAATGGAAAAACATCTGAAATGTTGAGAAAAAATAAATAAACAAAAAGAGAAATGTATTTTTTGACAGTTGGCAGTATAATTTTGAACAGGGTGTAAGGTTTACCTTGAAGCTTTTGAAGATTGATAAGGCCATAGTTTCTGACTATTCTGAAAATAAAACAATACCAAACAACGTAAATTACTGGCAGAATGGAAAAAGTAAGATTTACAAAGATATCAGTGAATTACATTAAATTGATTCATGCCCTTCAGTATAAGCATCAAAGTCAAAGTATTTCTGGGTAATTTATGGTGGACTGAGTTTCACGCTACTATTCTAAGGGCAGGAGTATACCATAAAAGCTTTAAAAAGATAAAAACACCTGTCTTGTTGTAAAAAATTGCATATGCACTAACCTTTTTCTTCTCTGTCTTTCTTTCAAGCAATGCCAATAAATATCAAGGACTGAAATCTTCAATTCTAAAACACGTAACATGTAACATATCAATAAAAAAATACAACTTCATCAATAACAACACACTTTCTCTAAACAATCAAAAGTACATCTCTATCTAGGTTACAATACAAGAGCTTTGTATTAAAGAGTTACAATAACCCATTCCAAGCTTCAAACAAACTTTCAAACTTTATAAAGCTCCACTTGCCCTTGTCTAATTCCCCATCTGTCTCTGTGAACTCCAGTTCTCTCAGGTCTGTCTCAGCATAGTTGTTGTACTCGGTTGTAAAATCGCCCCTGGCAGCCAGGTACCCAGCCATCTCGGTGTACGACAGAGAGGCAACAGCAGGCCGAGGAGGGTCTTCACACACTACCATAATGCAAAGACTATATGAGTAAATGAGTACTCTCTGATCACAAGGTGTGCTAGTAGTCTGTTCAAAATCAAGAATTTAATTCAATTTTAATTTTGTATACTATTTTAGAAGCTCCTGATATCAGAGGGTTGTGAATGAGCACTTAATTATTTCGACAATAGAAAGGGGGCATATATATTTATTAAATCTACATTGATGATAATTAAGTCTTAAATGCCAATGTTAATAGACAGAGAGACATAATTAATAGACTTACTTTTATATGTAACTGGTGCAGGGTGCATGCTTATCATAGGGTCCTCCAATTCTGTAGCATGTGAAATAAGAAGCAAACCTAATTATTTATTCTCGTATATTGAATAAACATTTAAAACAATAGTGAACGAATCTGTTAATAAAGGTCAAAATATTGAATAATCCCTTTACGTATACTAGAAAGCACAACATATATTCTACAATATACTCATGCCATGTTAGCCAAAATCAAGTGACATTGCAAATGTCTTACCTGGCAGTGGATATTTGGCATCACTGATATAGTATCTATAGTAATGGTGCTCACAGTCTTGTTTACTTTTGGTCTGCATTTGGTGGGATATGTCAGTCCTAGAATTAAAGAGTAGTGTTATAACTTACATGATAGACAAGTTTTAATACTGATATTGATTTATTAGGCTCATTTTTCAATACAAACTGTTAAATAAATATATTCAGATGTTGTGTTGAGAAATGCCTTGAATAAAATTTCTAAAAAATTAGTGTATTCCATTGTATCTGTTCAATGAGCATTATCATTTTAATTTGATTTAATTTAATCTGCTTTCATTAGACACCTGTTCTAATATATACTGACCAGTTTCCCACTCCACAGTCAGCTACAGCTTCCAGCAGTCTCATTTCCTCAGCAGCTGTCCAGGCCTTGTCAAACAGAGAGAAATCATGCTTCTGTAAAAAAGCAAAATAGATATTTTACAAAGAACAAAAAATCATTAAAAATTTTTTTTTAATCAATTAAACAGTTGGATGTACCCCAAATCAAAGAATTCCAACATATAAAAAAATGCTTTGACCCCCCAAAAAATTTCTACATAAAATACCAGGGGTATAGAGGAGTTACAAGACTCAGAATGCCAAAAGGGTGAACAAAATACAGCACAAAGTGAACAATACTCACTATCACAATGTAGTTATGGTCACTTTTGTGCCTGTCCACTTCCAGGCCTCTGGCAAAGCAGTGGAGACAGGTTTGAACTGGGCATTCAGCACAGCGGATATACGGCTCCTGGAGGGTAATGGTGCACCCCGGGCACTGGGCATGGGTGTCCATTTCTTAATCTGGAACAAGGCACTTTGTAGGTTTGATGTTCAACAAAAGGCTTGCTCATAACTTATATGCAGAAGGGAGAAGCATCCAATCAGTCTGTATCTAGCGCTGTGAAGGGGGGGGGCATCTTCAGCGGGTGCCCAACAGTGACGAAAAATAATAGACCACTGAATTCATACTCTGACTAATTTTATCAGTCTTTTTGCGTAAAACCTTTTGACATAGGCTAACAAAAGCATTTAATAAAACTGTTCACGTTGTAACTTTGAACTTACCACCTAAAACCTCACCTTTGCTTGTAATCTTGCGTGCGCAATGAGGAAGTAATACCCAAGCACGTGCACATCCGGTGGGCAGTAAACAACTGAACGGGAAGCTGTGTTACAAAGTCACAATCATGGTCCAACAAATCCACGTCGAAGGACATGAAGCGTTCATGAAGACTGCCACAGAGCACAAGGGGAAACTTGTGTTTGCTCTCTTTAGTAGTTCTAAAGACGGCGCAGGTTCCAGCTGGTGCCCAGATTGCGTTAAAGGTACATGTACTGCATGGTACATGTTTAAATTTTGACAACTATGGAGTTAACCACTGGGTATCTATGTACTGCCACTGGTACATGTACTAGTAGTACTGCTAGTCGAACTTAATCGGTTGTACCTCAGTGAATTTTGTAGTGTAATTCCTTCTCTAATACTCAATTACCCAAATACAGTACATATATAAGGAACAGTATGTATTGTAGTGTTCACAAATATAATTCCCAGACATGTAAATTAATTTACATGTCTGGGAATTATATTTGTGAACTATGTTATTTATGTAATGTTTCCCTTTTATTATTAAAAAAGTATATACTTGCCTTGGTGTTACAAGTCATTTGTATAATTTTCATGTGCCACGATTGATCTGCATGTACTGGTACATCAGGTACATATGTATGTATATATATACTGTATGCTCATGCATATAAGTCTTTCTAGCTGAGCCAGTGGTAAAGGAGTGCATGAAATTTGTCCCAGATGAAGCTGTCTTTATAGAATGTGGAGTTGGAGACAAACCATTGTGAGTACATTTCCATCATTTACACTCAAAATGTTGCTTTTTCATCAGTTGAATATACATGTACCAGCATTATTGAATTGAAAGTAGATTTTTGTTGGATGTTCTAGAAAAAGTGAATAGTTCAGTTAAAAATACTTTTTCTACTTTAGTTGGAAAGATCCGAATAATATATTCAGAAAAGATGACAAACTGCGACTGAAGTGTGTACCAACATTAATGCGATGGGGCACGGTTGGTATTCATTATAAAGAGTTTTTCAATTTCTGTAGACAAGTATTCTCAGGCTTTGTTTTTTTTTTTTGTTTTTTTTTTCAATATATTTTGTGTTGGGCTTTAATATGTTCATGCAAACTAAGTGTCATTTGCAGATTGTCCTTTTGTTCTTTATCTCATTAATGATTTTGTTTGTCCTACCAACTTATTTATTAAAGTTGACCAGGCCATTTTGTGTGATTTATATATGAAATGACAGGCAACTGTCTGAAGTAGTCACATCTCTATTTTAGCCACAGAGGTTAGAAGAAGAGCAGTGTGCAGATTCCAGATTGGTACAAATGCTTTTTGAAGATGAATGAACTGATCTCACTGGGAAATGGGAATGATGACTGGGAATTTTTTTATTCATAGTACACTCCAATGCAACTGTTTTATGTGGAATGATTGAAGCTGAAGTGATATTTGTCATTTTCTCTTTGATATGGATATTGATAAAAAATAATTTTGTCTGTAACATATTGATCTAGAAATAACTTATTGAATATTGCTCATCTGTGCCACATATAATCATGACAGGTACACAGATGCACTGTACAGCAAATGTATCTTTTATAATTGAAGATTATCAGCCTGTTAGTTTCTGTTATTGAAGCTGTTACCCGAGTGAAGTAGACCAAAAGTAAAAGGCGAACAAGAAAAAAAATGATTTATTAATTTAGATCTGTCCTCAAGATTTTACAAACTTTACTGATCACTTCAATAAATGCATTGCCATTGTATTACTTATTTGTTGTGCTATTTACATAACAACCTTCTTTCATAAATCATTTCTAGTGCAGTATCTTTAAACTCGAAATCATGTTTTATTCACCTAAATATCAAAACTGAATATCTTAAAAAAGATTCAGTTAATTAATGCAAAATTATCTTTTATTTTTCTTGGACTTAACAAAAAAAAAAATAAAGTAAATGCCATCATATCCTCTGTTAAATATTTACAGATCCTCTGTTAAATATTTAAATAAGTTTTTTTCTACCTACTGCATTTTAGATTGAACATAGATATGCTGACAGTCAATAAAAATGCATAATTTATTTATCAAATAATCCTATGGCACATTAAGAAAATAAGTTTTCGTGTGAAATATGACACATTATTCAGTCACACAAGGTGAGATAAAGGTAGAAAAATTTGTACTCATTTATATGGTTGGAATTCTCGGTAAAAAAGGACAGTTTTCTGATGCGTTTTCATTGACTGTCAGTATATTTTACTACATCCACTCACATCCCTTGTTAAATGTGGTGAAGTATTTTACCCATTGTTGAAAGAATATAAACACTGCTTGAAACTATCATGTAAATAAAACAATCTCCAATGAAACTTTTAAGTATTGAAATAATCTTCAAAACTCTACACTGATGATATTCTAAGAAATGATGAAATCAATAACATGTTTTTCTGAACATGAGGTACGTGCATTAATTTGATTTCATCCATAATACTCTTTGTATATGTTTCCAGCAATAACCAGTCTCTGTATTTCACTGGTGCCTTCATATATCTCTGTAATCCTGGCATCTCTGTAGTGTCTCTCTGCTGGCATGTCTGTAACATAACCCATGCCTCCTAGGACTTGAATAGCCTAGAAAAATAATGGCAGTATGATCATGTACTTTGGTTATAATATTTGGCTTTATAAATAATCTTCTCTAAAAATCAAATGCATAATTCATTACAATTTTTGCAACTTTTCAAATCCTACATCTGACAAAGCAAATGAAATTACACAAAAGCTTAAAGGGATAATAACTCTTCGTGTGATATCTATATTTCACAATAAAAACATTGTGAACAACTCATAGAAATATAACATATTCTGTTTTACCACAAAAACGGCAGTTATAGCTATTATTCAGATATCTGAGCTTGTCTTCAGATCACGTGACCTCCATTGATGGCTGTACTCAGTTATAATCTCTTAAGAGATTTTAACAAAAAACCAAACTGTTTAGAAAAAAAACAGGGACTAACTTTGAATGTAAAAATGGATTCATTAATCATTGGTAAGTATGTAAAAATTGTTGTTTACTCCAGGAAAATTCATTTTTTGGCCAAAACGAAGAGTTATTATCCCTTTAGTATGTTTACAAAAAGAAAATGAAATCCCTGAATAAGACACACTTAAAATTCTAGAGTGCATCTTATATAGTAGTGAAAAGGACAATTTTGACAATTCTACTGGCTAATTCAATTATTTACACACCTGATGTGCACAAAATGTTGCTGCCTCTGATGCTGCAAGTTTGGCCATGGCAGCTTCCTATAAAACAAATTGTACAAAATCATTAAAGTCTTTTTTTAAAATCCTAACAATGAATATTTATTATTATTCTTTTCCGTTTAAAGAAAACCCTTACATAATTCTTTTTAATGGAAAAAATTGTAAATTTTACAAATACTTTATTTATGTAAGCCATAAATTCTTCAAATAAGAACATTCCTACAATGTGGTAGCAACAAAATTGAAAAGCAGGCTACCCTTTAGTTCTATTCTTATGAGTAAAAATACCACAAGTACTATTATAGAAATATAAATTTTTAATGATTCTTAAGTTATATATTTCAATAGGATTGATAATTTCTCCCACTGAAAAGATTGAGTCATTACCATAACTGTGGTTTCTTCACCCTTTTCCCTGAAGTAATCCATGTAACAAGAAAACTGATAGAATTATTTTTGGGGGTTACTGCCCCTCACCTCACCCCCTCACCCCCGAAAAAAAAATGATAAAAATAAAATAAAATAAATAAATAAATAAGACCTGACCAGTGTCATACCTTCGTGAAGTTAAGCCCATTATCCTTCAATATGGCTGCTTTCCACATCAACATCCTAGAGCTTTCTATTCTTAATGCCATATCAGCTATCTTCATCTGGATGTACCAAAAAAGTAATATTATAATTCTTTAAAATGACAAGAATGCCATCAGCAAATGAAAAAATCAACTTTGATATAAAGGGAACAGATAAAACAAAAGTGCTTCCATACCTGAATAGCCTGTGTTTTGGCAATGGGTGCTCCAAATGCTTCCCTCTTGTTAGCATAGTCTAAAGCACATTCAAGGGATGCCTATAAATACAGATATAACATCAATTTATTATCATGCACAGTCAATACTATTGCAGCATAAAAATACCTACTGCAAAAAATAATTTACCACATAACTAAATTACATCAATTGCTATCCTGCTGCTATGTCACCTGCTCTTAAAGGAAAGGATTATGCTATTCCTACCAAATTCTTCATCAAATTATGAACTTGATGTAGAAAAGAGAAATTGTTGAATGTAAATATACATATCTAAAACATGACAGCACATTGTGTACTTTGACCTGAAGATACCTGTGCAATCCCAACTCCCTGAGCTGCAATGCCTATTCTTCCTGCATCGAGGGTTTGCTGGAAATTAAGATTTTCATTATTTAGAGATTTATTATTTAACAGGAGGAAAAATTGTCTAAGAAGCAACAGGCACCATAGTATACATACATTTAGGGGGAACTTAGCATCAAATTGTTAAATATTAGCTCCAATTACAATTAATATAAAAGAAGATATAAATAACAAAAACATATTAAAAGTAGAAAATATTGCTAAAAATACATACCATGGCAATTTTGAATCCATTTCCTGGTGCCCCTAACAAGTTTTCTTTTGGTATGTGGCAGTCATCAAAATTCAAAGTGCATGTTGAGGTGGCCTTGATTCCAAGCTTGTCCTCTTTTTTTCCCAAACTCAGTCCTTCTGTTGGCATTGGAACTATAAAAGCACTGATACCCTAGGGGCACAAATCAGACATGGAACCAATACCATAACAGTTAACTTTTCAAACTCAATGAATCATCTTTTTCACCTGCAAATTTTGCTAATATTTCAGAATTTTAATTCAATCACACACTTAAACTGGTTTCACAAACCAACACATAAATCATACCTTGCTAGTTATGTAAAGGAAGACAGTTCTCCTTAATATAATTGTCTTGAAACATAACTTCACTATTACCTTGTGATACTTAGATTTGTCTGTGGTAGCAAAAACCACAGCTGCCTCAGCTTCATAAGAGTTTGTTATCCAAGCCTTGCTTCCATTCAGTACCCAGTGGTCACCTACGAGCTTGGCTGTTGTCGAGGCTGCACCTGCATCACTGCCATTACCTATTTATAGCAAGATAATATGAAATAAACTTGACATGCAAATTAATATTGAAAAAAAGATCATTGAAAAAATGTTCACATTCAAATATGAATTAGTTAATTACATAAGAAAAAGTGAAAGTAAATATATCTTTTTTCAATACCTTTCAAATAAATTTAGAAATAAATTATTTACTTGCTGTGCATATATAAAAGTGAGACATTTTATATAATTATAACCCAATTCAAAAAGTAAGCAAAGCAAATATATTGGACATCTTTTTAATCACTTTTAGCCTCTCTTTACCTGGTTCACTGAGTGCAAAACATCCCACTTTTTCACCATGAAGGAAAGGCCTAAGGTATTTCTCATATTGCTGCTCATTACCATTATTTTGTATAGGAGTCAAATATAAGGACTGAAAGAAAAAGTGGAACAAGGATAACCTGAATTTTGAAATAAGGATGATGTATTTTAAATAATTCAATTATGCCTGTATTGAAGACATGAGAATGTTTCACCAAATGTAAGCAAACAAAATAACACACAATATTTTGACAGCTGTCTACAAGTTATACAATAATATTAAAATAATTTCCGAGTTATCTTCTGGGAATTTAGAAAAATAGTGTGAGAATTTATTTCTGCTATACATAAAAATAATCTCACGTTAATCTTTATTGCAAACTACTAACATTCATCACACTCATGATGCAACCTGTGGAGGCACATCCTCGACTGATCTCCTCTAAAGCTATGGCATATGCCAGGTAGTCTAAACCAGTCCCGCCTTCACTCTCAGGAATGGTTATGCACAAAAGGCCCAACTCTCCCAATTTTTTAAACTGTAAAATATAGAATTCAATCAGTGAGCAGTAAATGACTTCTGTGGGAGACACAAGTGATTCTTAAACAACTGAAATTCATAATAATGATTTTTATGTATTTTATCTTGGAACTGTTTCCGTTTAAAGTCACTTTTCTTCCTCATTTATTTGAAAAAAAAATTACCTTGTGCCCTTAGAACAGAAGCTCTCTTTGTTTTTAAAAACTAAAATACTCCAAGGACAAAATTCTAAATAAATAAACATAATGAAATAAAAATAATGTAACAATGACCCCCCCCCCAACATACATAAAGACATTTAACAGGAGTGATGCTGTAAGAAAACCCTAAATAGACAGGGTTACTTTCTAGAATTCTGTATCATCACCTGCTCAGCTGGGAATCTGTGTTCTTTGTCTAACTGTCCAGCAATGGGTTTCAGTTCATTGTCTGCAAAATCTTTGCATGTCTTATGTAACATTTGGTGCGTATCTGATAGGGTGGCTAGACTCCCCAAACAGCGAACATTGCAGCCTGTGAGAATAAAAAGGAAAATTAAACTATCCATGCAAGCCATGCAGATACAGTTAGCAAAAGCATCATTTCATTTTCAGGTCATACCCTGCAACCTGGCACAGATTAGGTGCAGAATGTAGAGTTCGCTTTATTCCATTTGTTGTGAGCTTCATATATTACTTTTAAGTAAATATATTGTTTACTGCATATATTCATGTACAACAGTTTACTGGCGCCTTTATTACACATATTTTGGTTGTAAAATATTAAAATATTTAATTAAAATTAAAAAAAATTCTGCAATACACTCCATAAAACTTTTGAGACAAAACCCTGAAATGCCTCTCGTCATTTAAAAATTGAATCCCATGAAACTTTTTTCATAACATGCATTCGGAGGGCCTTTTCACTTTTTTAAGCAAAAGGTCGATGTTAGATAACTTTAATGACATAACGATGCACTTTGGACGGTAGGTGCAATAAGTGGATTGACTTTGATAATAGCTAAAGAACAAAAACATTTGAATTATTATAGATATTTCACACAATAATCTTACCTCTTAACTTATTTAGAGGCGACGAGAAGGGCCGCAATCTCATGCACTTTCTAAATAGCGATGCCATCGCCATCGTTTCGTTGCTGTCGGCCAATGCACTTTTAGTTTTTCTTTAAAGAGACTCCATTTACAAAAGAGTTCCACTTCCGCTGGGACGGAAAATGGGGAAGTGATAAATGTTAAGCTTATCTGTTTAAAAGCCCCCGAGTTTGCCCTAAGCTGAAACTAAGACGCCAGGAAAAGGTTTTTCTATTATTTTTACCTTTGTACAATTTAATTTTATCGATCCAGATGCGACTCAACGAAAGGAATTTAGTGTCATATGCGACCTGTAACTCGCCTGTTGATAAGGAAGGATATTTGATGAAGAAAGGAGAAATCAACAAAGGGTTTCAGAAACGATGGTTTGTGCTAAAAGGCAACCTACTATTTTATTTTGAGAAGAAAGGAGACCGAGAACCTGTCGGATTAATTATTCTTGAAGGCTGCACAGTTGAATTATCTCCAGAATTTTCGGACACGTTTACCTTCGGAATATCTTTCCAAGGCCCAGGTTGCAGGACTTATGTGCTACAGGCGGAGAGTCAGGAAGAGATGGAGAGTTGGATGAAAGCAATCACAAGTGCAGGGTATGAATACATGAAACTGATGGTGGCTGAACTAAACAGACAGCTGGAAGAATTAAATAGGACTCCAGATGCTTCGTCTTTAGAGGTGATACCTAAACGCTCGTCAGCTCCTGCAGTGGCCGTCGGCTCGCTTATAGATTTTGGTGGAGAAAATAGCCAAGCAGCAGCATCGAACTATGAAACTGCATCAGCTAAAAGGTTTAATCCGTTCAATCAAGAGTTATCCCCAGTGGATGAATTTGGTGCACGACCTTTTAACCCAACCTCAGAATTTTTGTCCAAGTCAAAAGACAGGTCTGATTCAGCTCCCGTTGCCCCACCTAGAAAACCCAGAGCTGTGACTGCAAGTGAATTTCATATTCCAATGCCACTGACTAGTAACGACATAAGCAGGCCAAAGACTGATGTTTATTTAAAACGACCTAGAACATTCTTGGAAATGCATGAAGAATTTGGAAGACAAATTCAATCACGAATACACAGATCAATGCATTCTTCAGCTACTGGTTGTTAAAATCACGTAAAAGAAACATAACCAGTTGATAAGTTATAGTTTTGTTTTCATTTAATATCTCTGGCAAGTTCTCTGCATGTGACATTACATATTCTGAAGGCACAATGTTATCTGCACCTGTAATTATCATTGCTATTGTCACCATGCACTTTTTACTGCAAACACAGTAAAGGGATAACAGTGTGACATATTATCCTCCTCCAACTTACTGGAGTGAATCATACCAACAAACTACAGATCCAATTTTAATAGTGCAGCTTCATTGACCAATTTTTTTCCCGATTTTATACAGTATATTATTGTCTTTATTTTTTGTAAATTTTTCATTTTTTCACATATACAGTAGGTACTTTTAAGGTGTGACTTAAAACTTCCATTGGACTGCTAGTTGGGTTTTCTGAATATTCAGGGTAACAGGAGTACATCATTTAAAATATGGCAGGTACATTGTATCATGCTTTTTAATGTTATGTAATATAGTAATAAAATTGACTTAAAAACATCTTGTGCACATTCAGTTACACAATGTATATAGAAAGTCTAGCAAAATATAAAGACCCCAAAAAAACTATTTGTCAAAATTTTTATAAAATAATAAAAAGAAAGTATTGCTTTTTTGAAGATAGGTAAATAATACCAATTAAGAATTTAATCAGTAAAAATAGTTATGGGCCAAACAAGATGGGTTCTGACTAAATGACTGGTCAATGTCATTGTTATCTTATGTGATGCTCCTGTCAAACTTAATTAACAATTTATTCTATGTACAGTATTCTTTGGGAATGAAAAGACAGGTATTCGATTGATATTTATAATTAGTATAAAGAGTTATAAAAGAGAAGTTATGTATCATCTGACATTTAGTTCTACAACAATGATTAAATTACAATTTTATACCTTTTCCCCAAAAATAATGTTTTTTTTTTTACTACTCGTTGCTCATTAGCAATAACCATCCCATGTTTTCAAGTTACTCATGGTCTCTCGGTTGAGTTTTCCCCTTAATATGTTTTTCTTTCAAATACAGATCTAAATCTAATTGTAGTAATTAAAAAAGAAACTGATTGCGTTAATGTCCCACTTAAATAAGTCTATTGGCATGTGGTCTTGTGCTTGAAAGAAGCTGCTGTTATGTTAAACGGTAATAATTTGGACCCCTTATACGTCCCAAAGTAATACGAACAATATGATGCACATCAGGAGCGCACCTTTTCTTAGCAACATATATATAGGAAGGACCTACATATTTTGGGGAGGGGGGTCAGGGATAAGTACGTGAGTGCGTTAATTTTTAAGGCACCTCAGTCATGATTGAAAGCAGACAGCTGAACCAAGACTGACCGGATAATAATCAGCCCTGGTGGAGAGTTTGAAAACTATACTTGACCCAGTTAAAATATTTCAGGCGTGCGATTAGCGGCTGGAGGAGAGCAGGGTCTCAGTCCGCTGGGGTTTGCCTCCTTTTATGCTCCACCAACACTGGAAAAAAAATTAAGAGTGTTTTCAACCTTGAGCATTGAAGATATTTCGTTTTAGTTTGTTTGAGATGGATATTGGAGCAAAGTTTGATGATTCTTTGTTTGAAGTCGCTGACGAGTCAAGACTTCAAAAAGTGATTGAAGATGAAAAGAATTGCTGTATTCGGGAGCCACTTGTAAGTGTTTATCAGATTATAAATATGTCTCTACCAAATCTTGCATTGTACATTATACAAGGCAGACTGCTTAAATACTCATGACACCTGCGTTTTGATTAATACCTACTTCAGATCAGCGGGAAAGATCTACTGAAATACATCTTCCATATGTTTCTCATCATCTCTACTCCATTACTTGGGGCTAATTTAAATTATCGGTCTACGTATATCGATCTAACTGTGTGGGGACTCTTGCTGAATGCAATCAGTTTAACAGATTAACACTGAAGTCCACCCTCATGCATGATAGCACTTACCTGTTGTCCTAGTATACTGAGTAGTTTTTACTGAGTGCTTATATGTTACCTAGCTGTATTATGGTGTTCAATTTGCCTGATGGCACTCTGCCAACAGGTTACAGTATATAAACCCTCCACTACTCCGCTTACTTCGCTTCTACCATCCATTGGACACACAAGACAGGAACAGCCTAGTGTGTTGACCAATTCTGCTGTCATCAGACTCTACTGACTACATTTTCTGAGCACAGCTACAGAGAGGTACTTCTTGGATTTAGAATAAAAAATATTAATAAATCTAACAATCTAGTTGTTTTGATACACTACAGAAACACCTTTTCCAACGCATTCTTGTAACCACCAGGTTTTCTACTCAACGGCAGGAGGTGGCATGTTAGTCCATTAAACATAAGACATACTATTATTTATTATAAGTTAAATTGACTGTGCTCATTCAGTGGGAGTCCCTGCTGCATATGGGTGGATCTGTGTAGATCGATAGTTTCGTTGGGAATGACCCCATAAATTAAGGGGTCTAATCAGTGTCTGGTCAGGATTTTGTGGTGATACACACTTTTGAAATTATAATGAAAATATATTTAATCAGTATGATACAGACTTGATGTAAGTAGGTGTTTGCTGACTTATTTAAAAATAAGATGATGATAAGATTTTCAACTTGAACTTGTTTTATATGCAGTGGTTTGTAGATGCAGATCCAGAGGGGTTGGACAAAGATCAAGAGCAGATGCAGTTGTACAAGTCCCAGGGAGACTGGTTGTATTACAACAAAGACCATGAAGGAGCAGCAAGGAAATACCAACAAGCCTTAGGTATTACATGGAATAGTGTCTGATGAATTTATGATTGTCAAGTATATAAAAAAATGAACAGCTTCAAAGTTCTTGTTTGTATTTAAAAATTAAAACATTTTGCAGGTGTGCTGTAGTAATTGTAAATGATGCATTTTGGCAGTATTAATTTATTTAATGGCATGCACATATTTTTATTAATTACGCAGGTGTACTTTGAACATTGTATAGGTTATGATTGATTTTGTATTTTGAACTCTATATTTTGTCCTAACATCTCCGTAAGCCCATGCTCATTTGCTAGTCTAAGTTTGTCATGTTTCAGAATATAGTAACTTTTATATTTGTTTGTAAGTACAGACATTGAGCAATTTAAGAGTCTGTGACACTAAAGACAACTCTATACACAACTTATTGTTATCACCATTTTGCTTCAATTTTTTTAATTCAATAGGTATCTTGCCTAAGGGCAATGCAACTGTTAAGCGTGACCTCTTAGAGTGTATATCATGCTGCCATATTGCTTTGGGGCATGAGAATGAAGCTCTGAAGTATGCACACTTGTTGGTTAGTATTCAGGGGACATGGTTTTACTAACCTTTGATAAGAGCAGTCAAAAAATGTAGCTACATAGTGAAACTTTTTAGCTTGTATTTTCATTCCTTCAGCTTTATAACTTTTATAGTCAGGCATCCAACATTATTAGTGAACAATCATATCAGTACAAGATTAACACATACCAAACTTACTTGTGTCCATGCAATTGTACTTCTGTTTTTTTTTTCTAGAGAGATGAAGGAACCAATTTTGAGCAGCAAACAGTTATATTGAATCTTTTGAAATCAATTCACCATCAGTTTGGGAATACATCTGGTAATGTATATTATGCAAAACTTAAAAATGATGATTAAAAGCTTTTTCACGTAGATCTTTATATTGTAGCATTCCATTGGCAGTATATTGTGAGAGATTGGCAACTAAGTTGCCCAGCTATTTATGTAAGAAAATCGACTAAAGGGAGGCCTCACTGCTCTACAGTTAACTTTGTTTGGAATGTACACTGCATATTGAACCCTAAGATGTAATGCACAGTATGAAAAGGTAATAACCTTTTTTGAACTATAATTAAGGGCTCTCTCTCTTTAGGTGAACTTATTGTCTTGGAAAAACTCCTGAGTCTTCATCCATACAACCATCATCTTTGGATAGAGTTGGCTGAGGTCTTCAGAATCAAACAGTCTCAAGAAAGTGAAAGTGAAAGTGACAATTTAAAATTGGCAGCAGGAAACAAAAATGAGGCATGTGTCTGTCACAACCAGTTCAACTCAGAAACTGCTGAAAGGAGCATTAGTGAGAGAGGTGCCTCAGACATTACTTCTAATGTTTTGACAGAAACAGTTGGCAGTGGCTTATCATTACAGGTGGAGGGAAGATGTATACACTGCCCCCTGTGTTTAGGAATTATCATAACAAAAAACGGGTCTGCTACAATGAAAGTCAGCAAAGACATAATTCCAGAAGTGGCAAAAATTCATAATACAAACTATTGCACAAGCTGTTTTTCTTCTGGTGATCAAGGGATTTGTGAGTGTAAATGTTTTTGTAACCTCACAAAATGTCTGCTGCCAAGTGTGAAGACTGACCTGGTCATAGCTGTTTGCCTTATCAGAGCCAGGTATGAAACTTGCTATTAGAGAGTTTCAGCATATATAGTGTTAAACATGTATTTTTTGTGGTTGTTCAAATGTGGAGTAGACAGCTTACATGTTTGAGAACAACCAGAGTTTTTAACTGCTCTTTTATAATTTAGGATTTATTGGCTTAATTTTTTACAACTCATATTTGTAGCAAGATTAATCATTTGAGGTAATACAGTATAAAGCTTCTTTTACATGTGTGAAATGCAGGCTTTTCTCTAAACTCCTCAATTAAATACAAATATTTCTTACAAAATTATTCTAAATCACTGAATTTTCCACAAATGGTAAAATTAGATATTAATCTATTTCTCTTATCCTTAAAATGATTCTAAGAAATGAATAAGATTATAACTTTTTGTGTGCTTTCAGTACAACTCTTAATACATGTTTCTTTATTGACTACATTGCCTACATTTGTAGCATGTCGAAGAGAAATTAAATATGTTGTGCAAAATTTCCCAAAACATTCTTGACAATTTTGAAAGTGCACATTTCTTTACTGACCAAATATTTGAAATACTGGGACTTTGCTGTAAAAAGTGAGCGGCAACCACTAAGATACTAGATATCTGCAAGTCTCAGCAATAAACCAAGTTAGTGAACTTTCGATTAAAGATGCATCATCTCACAAATATATTCCAGATTGCTTTTGCAAAGTGTACAGACCGCTGTTGCCTCATTTGGGAAAGAGAAACACAAGGAACTTTTGGTAGAGGTAATTAATTGTTGTAGATTTAATGTCTTTTTACCCATCTTTCATAATTACATTTTATATTTTTACCACCTAGAGATGTTCTCGTTTCTTGTCATTGTGATATTTCCATATATTGATTTATTTATTTATCTATATTTCAGATATGTCAGAAATTGAAATCATTAGATGTTTCACAGGAACAAATGGATTATGCAGTGAAAGTAAGACATTTCTTATTAAGCATCAGTTTTTGCCATGATAAACTGAAGAAAAACTGATTAATTACTTGTTTGAAATGAACAGTTTGGAAACTTCTACACAGAACTAACTTTTCAGCAATTGCCTTTCCTTGTTTAACATTTATCTTTTTGCAAAAAAAAAATTGACTTGATTTTAATGTAAAGAATACTGAAAGGATTTAATTTAATGCTATTTTGAACAGTTCCTAAGCCAGGATGTGTACAAGAAAGAGAAAGAGGAGTGTAAACCCCTAGAAGACAGTAAACAGTCCATTCTGATCTTAGATACAGATCCAGTACAGTGTGCAAGAGACTTCAACCAAACTTGGTTTTCTTGGCTCAAACAGAAATGAACATTGGCAGTCTAGTTTTACTTGAAGTAAATGAGGTGTGGTATTCTTTGACCTTGTGCTTATTAATACCACTCTAGCTGTTCAATTATTAGAAGTATTATAGGGCTCAAACTATGACAGAAAATGTGTATGATGAAGGCATATTGATATGTACTTTCTACACTTAAGTTAAATTTATTTCTTCCTTCTATTTGACTTAAAGATACTTGGGAATTAACTGTTGAAATTTTAACAGTGATGGTTATTTTTATTGGAAATTTTTATCACTTAATTTGATCTAGTGGTATATTGCCTGATTTACAAGCCAAAAATGTGATATCAATAATATATAAGCTGCTTTGCATAAGACTGATTGAAACTGTTATTTTTCATGTATTCAGATATTGTAAAAATCGGACTCGTACTTCAGTCCATTCTCACATACCCTCACGCATCGTGACTTACCTAATCAATATAACAAGATGGTAAGAATTTATAAAATTTAAATTATTTTTGAGGCAAAACTTGACTAAGAAGTGCTTCTGGTATACCTGCACATTTGAAAATGTCACAGTGCTTGAAATATCTATTTGCTCATTCATAACTGTCTCAGACAAGGAACTGTTTCTTTGGCAATACTGCCAAACCTGTTTCCATGGATGTGACATTTTTTTCTTTCTTTTTTGGTTTTGATCTTTGATCTTTTTCTCCTTTCATGCGAGGCGTCTTAGCCGGTATTTTGTCAAAAATCATTGGCAAAATGATAAAAAAAATTAGAGTGAATGTAGTCAACGAGTGTATGATTAATGTGTTAGCACAGCCATTTAAGCATCTCCCTTTTTGTAAATGAAATCATTATAAGTTTGCTGCGTTTAGTTAACCACTTTAGTGTACACAATGTCTTAATCTAAATTGCCAGTCACTTGAGCTAACTCAAGATAATTCCTTGCTCAGGGTTGAGTACAGACTAGTGAAATTAGACTATTTGATAATTTGTAAAAAGAAAATACAATAACTAATTTCTTCATCCATGTGTACTGTGAACTCGTCCTCATACTCTTCATCTCCTCTCTTCTCATGCAGGTGAGTGTAGAACACTTCCAACCTGCCCTCTAGGTTTTTGGGGAATACTTGGCTTTCCGATGTCTTTGCTCTTAAAGACGGTCCTTGCCTTTCCACAAGTTGCGACACCCATTCCTGGGATGCCTTGAAATCCAGTTCCTTTTCCTTTGCCAGGACCAATGCCTGTTGGCAGATATTGTCCACAGACACTGGCAGCTGAAGGTCACATTGCTCTAAGACCATTTTAATGGGTGATGTGTTTCGTCAGTCTACTTGCCAAGGAGGCATTCCCTAAAATCTTGATGTTACGTTTTGTAATCTTGTCAATATTTTGGTAACCTTTTCTCTACTCTTAAATGGCCTTTAGAAGGGCTGTTGGTAGTGAAAGAGCTCTGCTGGTTTTACCAGTAGACTTCTGTTTCTTCCAAGGCCTTTTAATATTCTCATCATCTTAACACTGTGAGAAGAAAATGTCAAAAGACGTTACTTCCATGCAGCCCTCACAACTCTTGGATTGTTGCTGCCTTCCCTTGGCTTCAGCTGTAATCTTGCCTCCACACATCACAAAGCAATAACAAACCTCAGAGGTTTTCTTAAGGAAATGACCCACAGTTTTAAAATTTTGTGTAGTGGATTTCAGGTCCTATTGAGACTTCGAAGCTGACATGAACACGAACATAAGCAAATATAGATCTAAACTTTTATTAGTCCTAAACAAAGGACTACAACACAATAACACAACTTGTCATAATGTCATCAAGAACACATTAATTTCCAATGTCATGTAAAATAGAACCAAAACCACAAGTATCCCCTGTGCTTCTGTTATAAAACTTAGCAAATGTGGTACTGTTTGACCATTCTGCTGTCCTAATCACTGTTGCAAGAGGTACTTTAGCTGCAAAAGCTTTACTTGTTGAAGCAGCTCTTGTGCTGTGTGATTTGAAAATATTTATATCTATTCCAGCTTTAAACATGACTGCCTTAATCCACCTTGAAATTGTAGCTTTACTAACAGGTGCATTAGGTCTAGTGTAACTAATAAACAACTGTGAACAGCCAGAATGCCTAAACAATCTAGTTCTATCTAAATATTCTGCTAAAGCAGACAACACACAAATTTGACTATTGTCAGCAAAAAAATTTACATGAATAACAGGCTGATTTTTTGATGGCCTAGATTGTTTTACAATTTTATCTATAACAAAACTGACACCACCAGGTGATTTGTACATTGAATCTAAATCCATCAAGTGTATAGATTGACATCTTTGTCCTGACGCTAAAGCGAGCAGCATGGCCAATTTTAGTGTTAATTCTTTCAATGGTTTCTGAAATTCATGTTTTTCAGATAATTCAAAACGATGTTTGTATCCCAGGTTGTCTGATATCTTGGAAATGCTGGTCGATTGTGAAACACACCTTTTATGAACCTTTTAATAACCAAGCTATTGCCAATAGTTGAGTTATCATCCAGTTTAACAAATGATGCCAGGGCAGATCTGGCAGTACAAATGGCACTGTAGTGTAATCCAGATTCAAAAAGCTCAGTAAGAAAATTCAAAACATGTGACACATTTGATCGAATGGGATCAAAATATTTTGCACTTGTGTAAGTAGTCCACTTTTTGATATAGGTGCCATATTGTTTTTGTGTGCCCGTTCGCCATGATTGCATAACAATTTCTTGAGCTTTTCCTGATATGCCTGCTTCCTGCATGCATTTCCTGTCAATTTGCATGCTATCAGTTTAAGGCTTCATTCACATGCAATGTCTATTTTCTAAATTTTATTTTCTATTCGCGGTATGTCTTATGATCACGGTCTGTGCCCTGAATATCCCACGGCGTAATTACTGGCAGCGCGAGCCAGTTACTATAAGTTACTATAAGTAACTGGCTCGCGCTGCCAGTAATAACGCGGCGGGATATTCAGGGCACAGACCGTGATCATAAGATAGCGCAAATAGAAAATAGATTTTTAGAAAATAGACATTCCATGTGAACAAAGCCTTAGTTTCTTTGCTAGTGAATGTTGATGTCCTTCCTGGTGTGGCAGGCTGAGTATCTTCTTTGTAGGTGGCAACAACACTGGCTCTGTGCACAACAGATGAAACACAGTGCTGTGTTGGCCATAAAGGTGCAATGATCAGCACATCTGCCTGGTCCTTTTGAATTTTCTGCAACACTTTCTGCATCAAACTAAAAGGAGGAAAAGCATAAAGTAAGTTACATGAAGAGGATTGTTGAAATGCACGATTTCGTGCATTTATTGCGATAAACTTGTATTAATGGGTATTAAACCACATATCGCTGTATTAACAGTATGTAAGCAGACATGCTTAAGTGCTTAAAAAGCTCAAAACATTGCAGAAATATTAATTTCATGCAGCTTGTAAATCCGCGTTCGCTTTGCTGAGAAACTGCACAACGAATGACGCTGAGCTGCGCACACATCTCTCTCATGTGGAGCCTATTACGTCACTAGACGGTGATGTGGAATTTTTAGTCTTGTGATTCAACCTTGAAGCAAACAAATCTAATGAAGGCTCACCAAAATACTTGGCCAATGATTTACAAAACACATCTGAATCAAGTGACCATTCTGTCCTGTCATTAAAGGTTCTACTGTGTTTATCTGCTAAAATATTTGTCACACCAGGTATATGAGTACACTGCAGGCTGCCTTAACTTCCTTTCTCCACTTATGGATATCATGCACAGTTCCACCCAAAAGTGATACAGAATCAGAGACTGGATTCAAAACGTCTTCAATGTCAGGAAAGACTGCATTATTATTCTCTAAAGATTTCAGTAGATCGTCTGCCAGCTGAACCAGACGAATGATGCCCTTTTGGATTCCATGTAATATTCTCTGCAATCTAACATCCCTAGTTTTCGATTCAGTGGAAATAATGTTCCAAATTTCTGGGTTAACCATAACAGGGCCCAGCATAAAACAGTTTTCTGGTCTTACTATGTTCTCTGTCATTTCTTTAAAAGTTGAATCTTTCATGCCTTGACTAGCATAGCTATTGACTTTAACTGCTAAGAGCAGTTCATCAATGCTAGGAGCCAAATGTTCATCATTAACTAAGCCTTTTCCCAAGTTATCCAGGAAATCTGCCCTGCCTTTGTTAAGTGGTGGCTTATCGTCTTCGTTGTTCTCACCCTCCTACAAATTGTCATCCTCGGCTCTATGTTTCTGGGGCTTTCTCGCACTAGCAGTGTCCCCTGTGCCCCCGTCATGATCGGCACACTCCCTGAACTGAGCAGCATTCTCCAAATCTTTTTCCCCCCGTCCGATTCAGACGAAAGTTCAAATTACCTGGCCTCATCATAGGCACTTTTCAGTTCTTTAACATTGAACAAAAATTCTGCCATCATTGCAGACAATGCTTCTAAGGGAGCAACGCAATGACCTCTGGGATCGCGCAATGCTCTCTTGTATAATCGCGGTTAACTATTGTGCCGTAGTAGAATTGATCTGGTCCATTACAACCCACCTGTCACAACCAGCCCCATTCTACTCTACAAATGAGTATTATACAGAAGACAACATTTTAATTGAGATTTTAATTTGTTTTATTTTCATTATTTACCTTAAAGGTAGTTTCTTATTACTGGAACATTAGCACAACATTTTATATTATTACTCAATTTACAGACCCTTTGATAAGTGATATCTTACAAATCATTGCCATAGTTCCAACTTTCAAGATTTGATAATTAAGACATTATGTATTATTGAAGTTAAAAATAAATGTTGTTCCATTCAATCTCATTTCTTTTGTTTTGCCTTTCTTCAATTTAATGCTTTGAAGATGACAACAAAACAGATGCATCATAACTTACAAGATAACTGAAGATTACTCTGTCATTATCTGAATGAAGTTTAAGAGACCCATACAACAGCAAAAAGAAATCATTTAAATGATAGCACCACAAAATTGCCACTATTTTTAAAGAAATGGTAATATTGCAAGTGGAATACTTTCCATGCCAAATGAAACTAACACATAATTGGTCAAGACAATAAACGCCATAATATTTGTCACAGAAGTCTTACATCATACTGATATACTCGCACCTTATAAAACGACAGTTTACATCTTCAGAGAAGCTATATTAAATCCATTTCCTTTGTGTTTACTGACAAGTTCTAATAAAGCCTGTTTCTTTTGCAAAGCCTGTGAGGATTCCAGTTCATAAAGAGTGCAAAGATTGAAGAGAACACCCTCCTGTAATGTGGTGCTGGGGTCTTTATGGAGAAGGTTTTCCAAGATGGCAATTGCAGCTTTTAATTTTCCTGTGTATAATGAGCACACAGCCATGTTGTTGATAGCCTAGAAGAATGAACAGAAAAGGAGAAAAATAAGATATCACCACAAAAAATTATATAAAAATGAGCAATAGCTGTTTATTAAAAAATAATGCAATTATATTTATATCAAAGCCTTTATCACTTTGCTAATATACATTTGTACATGTACCCTTATGTCAATGTATGTAAACTATAGTATGTAACATTAAAAAAAAAACTAACCAAAGCATTGGTTGGGTCAATATCAGACACTTGTTTAAAGCAGTCCTGGCCCAATTCAAAGTTGCTCTCTGCTAGGGCCATAAATCCCCTGAAAGAAATTATGAAAATAAAAAGTTGAAAAAATTGCAACACAATCCCTTTTAATGCAATTTTAAAAAATGCAACTGAAAATGACTAGGGATCCAAATACCAATTACCTGTGATGCCTGTGGAGTACAGCTAGGAAGCCAATCTACATGTTGCAAACTTGGTCTGAAGACCTTTAAATAATAATATTATACATACTGGTAATGGGTACTTACCTATTCATTAGTACTCTACTTTGTCCTTGGGGATCAGATGAACTAACTTGGTCTTCCACTTGTTTAAAGTATGCTGAAGCTTGGGGTATGTCTCCCATCTAAAAGACAAGCATCATTTTCTTCATTATTATATTCCAGATTATATATATGAAGCATAGACTTCAATAAAGTAGACGTGTCAAAAGATAAACCTAATTAATCACCCTGTAAATCAGAATATAGCTGTAAAACAGCATCTTTCTCAAATTTCTAGTCAGAAACTTGATGTATAGATCCTTTCCTCCAGTTCATAAAAGTTCTCAAAATGACATGTTATCAGGCAAATAGTTGTGTATGACACATAACTGCTGCCCATACAAAAACATGAATATTTAAATGAGCATTGGAAACAGCTAAGAGTTATATATGACACAGAAAGAGGACAGAAAATATCTGTTCAAACAGTGTATTTTGGGAAATATGGGCCCTTTTGTATTTCTTAAAGTAATGCTATTTGAAACTATATGATGGCATTTGGTCGGGTTTAGTGGCATAGACTTGACTTCATATGTAACTTAAAGATTCAGAATCCAACAAGAATTCTTGTTCATCATTCTAGAATATTTCATCACCAAGGCTAAACCCCAATCCTTAAATGACAAGCTCAAGGCAGAAGCAAACCCACATCGCAATATGGCAAAAGTGAGATTGCCAAGCAGAAATGTGATTACTAAAATATACAAGATATTTGCTGAAAGATATGATTAACAATGTGTTAGGTGTGACAGCATGTGAATAGTGTCTCTTAGGCTCTATTCCCATAGATTTAGATCGATCTATCCCCGCGGAGAGTCTCACTAGATTATTTTCAGATAATTCGACTTAAATGTCCGTCCCGCCTACTACAAGCTGTAAGAGGGTAATTAACTTTCGTGTCCGCCCGGCTGACAGCTATTTAGCGTGAACCCCCAGGGAGTTAGGTCGATCTAAAGTAGGTCGATCTAATCTATGGAAATGGGGTGATAGTAAAGGCTTTTAACATTGACTCCTGCCATACCTGTAAATGGATTCTTCCCAAGCCTGTGAGCAAGGCCACTTTGTTCTTCTTATCCTTCACTAGCAGGGATCTGTAAGCTTCTAATGCAGCTATGTAATCCTGTAAAACATACATTTACTGATAAACACCCATTTACATATCATTCCACAATGATGTCCTTTCTAGTGTTATGGTCACATACTAATTAAGCATAATGCCTTTAACACTTTCCATTGATTTCTCTGAACAATGTGGATTAACAAGTGCAAGCAAAACAAACATTTTCTTACATTAGAAGCAAACATACCTTAATTCCAAGCAAGCAATTGGCAATAGCATATAGCAACTGGATCTCTCTGCTCTCCCATAATTCTCTAGATGCTAAAATAACAATAAATCAATGAGAACTGCTTCACTGTAATTGATTTTAAACTGTTTGTGTTTTAAATACCATTTATTCAATATGAAAGTGTAAACAAATTAAAAATTTTCCTTATATACCTTAAATTTTGAGAAAAATCATTCGGTATGTCTGATAATGATGTTTTACGTTGTGCTGATAAAAGTCTTCCAGCACAAGGTATCTGTTTAAACTTTGGAGGAAAAACTTACTGGCACCACTCCTATATTTAGCGATGTTAACTTGGCATAATTATTAAAGGTGACAGGAATATACTGCATAAATATGTACTACGATGAGACAGATTTAACTTCTCTCCTGTATTTTATTCACCAGTCCATGTAAACAAACAGTGACATTAAAAAACATTACACTAAACTGAGAATAAACTCTCACCTTGTCTACTTTCATTGGTCAGTTCCACCATGCTTCCATCCTCTTCTAGTCCACTCTCAAGATTTGATAAAATCTACAAATAAAGAAATAACCTGCAAATAATATTTTGTTTTTGATACCACATCAAAATATTTTTCCACACATCCAGGGTAGCATATATCCAACTTTATGTCAAACATGCAATAAAAAATATTTAAAATGACTGCATTGTATTTATACAGCAGTAACTTGAGTGTTACCATTTGTTTTCTTCAGATAATTATATTCTGAGGCAATCGACCATGGTCATTGTTAAGCTGTACCTTAGTGGTCACTGCATGTAGATAATACAACCTATCTAAGGTTTCCTGGGTCCTGCCAAGGAACTGAGGAACCTCTGCATGGATGATACGGAAAGCAAAAGGCACCATGGAACCTGGGAGTAAATGAGGCATTTGTTGTAGTGTACTGAAAAAACTGAGGATCTAAACTGTAAATAATTCATTAGACTGACAACAGTTTGTGCAATGCTGTGTCAACAGGACTTGGACAACTGTCTTTTTATGGGAAAAATACAAAAAGAAAAGTAATTTTAGAGAAAAACTAAATAGTGTGTTGATCATTTATTTAAAGAATTTCCATATGAAACTAACCCAAAACAGACTTATTAATATTTGGTAATATGGCAAAATACAAACTTTGTAAACAGGGTATTACAAAGAACCAAGAAATTACCTTTTCTGCCTTTATATACATCTGGATAATAATTGTAGTACAGATCAGGTTTGTCCAAGGTTCCAAATGCCTGAAGCTCAGACTCCACCAAACTGTACATCTTCAACTTCATCATCAAAGCTATACGTGTAAACCATATCTTGAATAAAGAAAACAAAAAACTTCTAAAAAGACTGGAGTCTAAACAAATTTGAGATATCTGCAATTAGTAAAAACATGATTTTTCACCTTACAAGCCTAACGCCCGTATTCTATAAGGTCACTCACACTCCACTTGCCACTCAATGAGTATCACTCAAGACTCAATGAGTGAAAGGTTTACCTCAGACTTGAACCTTCCACAGACCTCACTCACACTCATTCAAGTTATTAATTTTGAGTGATGGTTGAGTGTGTGGTACACCTCCCTCAACATTCACTCAGTTCAATGTTTGTTTACCAAAATGGTGGATGTGTGGCTAAATAGAATAGAAAACAATAATAGATTACAACATGTTGCGAAGAGAGTACAATTTTGACTATGAAAAGTACACTGACGAGGAGTTCAGAAGACGTTACAGACTGACCAAAGACGCCTTCCAGGAATTGTTGCGTTTGGTAACACCAATGATAGCCCCTCATAATGAAAGAGGGAATCCAATCCCTGCAGATATACAGCTGCTACTTACACTGCGTTTCTATGCCACTGACACCTTCCAGATGGCTTGTGGAGATCTCTGTGACATTTCCCAGCCATCTGCAAGTCGTATCATCAAAAGAGTATCAGAAGGTATTGCTTCGCTTAAACCACAATTCATACGGTTTCCTGAAGGACAAGAACTTCAAAATATGAAGCTAGGATTTTGGAGGATAGCCGGTTTTCCAGGCGTTGTGGGTGCTATCGACTGCACTCACATCAAAATACCATCTCCAGGTGGTGTGGATGCAGAACTGTACTGAAACCGGAAGGGCTACTTCTCTATCAACGTTCAGGCTGTATGTGGTTCCAATTTGGAGATGTTGCATACCGTGGCCCGGTGGCCTGGCAGTGTACATGATGCACGAATATTTGACAACAGTCGTCTGTGTGCACAACTTGAAAGAGGGGATATAGAAGGTATTCTGCTAGGCGATGGGGGTTACGCGTGTCGTCCATATTTGATGACTCCAATAATAAACCCACTTACAAGGCCAGAGCGTTGTTACAATGCTTCTCAGATACGTACCCGAAACACAGTTGAACGAATGTTTGGTACATGGAAACGCTTGTTTCCCTGCCTCAGCATGTCCCTTTGCACAAAACTACAGACCACTTTGACCATCATTATCGCCACAGCAACTCTGCATAACTTTGTAAGAGCCAGGAATGACCCCCATGGATGAGCCACCTCCGCAGAATGCACCGAACCAAGTTGTAGCACAGTTTCCTGTTCCAGCTAGAGGATTGGGCAATGCAGCCAGACGTACCATAATACAGCAACATTTCTCATAAAAGGACAACAACAAAGTAAGTATTTGCGTGAACTATTTATTGAGTCAATACCAAATCATACAATAATGGCAGCAGTTCTTTAAACATCTACTGATTCATCACGCATTTTGGATTTCAGTTTTCTTCTTCTTTTTGCCCTGTTTATTCCAGTAACTTAACTCAGCATCAAGCACTTCCATTTTTCTTTTATGTTCTTCTTCCATGTACTCCATCTTCTTCTTCACGTACTCGAGTTCAGCACGGTGTTGTTCTTGCTGCATTGCCAAGCATCGGAATTGAGCAGGAGTGACCTGGGTTTTCCTGACCGGGGGAGTGGATGAAGTGGGTTGCTTTCCAGTCTCATCTAGATCTGTAATAGTGACAGTTGATGGAGTGGGTTCATCATCAACATGGCTATCATGTTGAATGTCATGCTGATCGTCGCGTACAGCATCTTGTTTATCTGTAATGAAGTATTGCAATAAAGTAACCATTTTACAGTTATACTTTGTCATATACATTCAAATAACTTAATAGTGTGCGGAAAATATGACAATCTATTTATACAGGCGATTACAATATCATCAATAGCAGTAATAATAAACAGCATTCTAGGTACCTACTATGATTAAATACCTTGCTCCACATTGTCATCATCACAGGGGTTGGACAAACTGTCGATCTGTGATGGTATAATGGCTGCTACAGCAGAGGCAGTTTCATCCGCAACACTACTTCGACCGCCACCAGTCAGCTTTGCTTCCCTCTTTTCCTTTGCAATAGACTTCTTAGCCTGAGATTTTATATTTTCCCAGCATTTTTTTAGTTGCTTGCTGTCCCGTTTCTTTCCCCCACTTTGCGAGTTGAACTCCTCTGACAAGCTTTCCCATGTATCGTTTTTCTGCTTGATCATTTTGAAGTCATTTTTTTACATTCCAGAACGGATTTGTTTTTGTCCACTAATTCAGTCAGTAGAGACTTCTCTAGCTCAGAGAAGTATTGTCTGGACATGGTGACTGCAGTCAGACTGACTAAAGTTATGTGCACACTCAATACAAGGAACTATTACTCAAGTGTCACTTAACTGAGTCACAGTTGAGTGAGCTTAGTGAAAGTGAACACATGTATCATTCAATGAGTGTGAGTAGTCACTCATTTTATTGAGATCACACTCACACTCACACTTGAGTTACTCTTCAGCCACACTTGAGTGAAACTCAGTTGAGTGTGAGTAGAGTGTGAGTGTGAGTGACCTCATAGAATACGGGCGTGAGACTATCTAATATATCCTGGAAGATGGCTTAAAGAGAAATTGGCATAAAATTGTCCTCATAATGATTCCATTTTTCCTAAAGCATTTCATAAAATAAGAATAAAAATTTTCTTTCAAAAAGCATACCTACCTGCAAACTCCAAGGTGTATTATTAGAAATCTGTCCAGCACTTCCCATGCCTTGTCCGTGTTCTCTTAGTATCCTTCCAGTCAGGTCAATGGCAGCACGGTGACACTCTGCTTTCTGATTCAAGAACAATAATGCAACATATCTTTGATGCAATCATCCCAGTTATACACATAAAAACTTAATGCTTTAACTATATCATTCCAACTGGTTTAACAAAAGTTATCCACTATATACGTTACAAAAAATTTCATGTCTAAAAATTTTGGTGAAATTTACAGCAATGTCATATGTATTTTTTGTTTTAATTTTTAACATTGACATAGAAAGAATGTTACAGTTTAAAAAAAATGCAACAACCCCTCCCTTCTTCCAACATGCTCATTCACACACACACACACACACACACACACACACACACACACACACACACACACACACACACACACACACACACACACACACACACACACACACACACACACACACACACACACACACTAAC